TTGTGAGCTCTGAAGTGCAGATTTCGTGGCAAGTGCAGCACTTTGGCGAAACGAGTCACGCTCATGGTCAGGGGTCTCCACGAAATCTGCACTTCAGAGCTCACAAAGTGCGGTCCCTGCCACGAAGTCGGTACTTCAGAGTTCAGAAAATGCTGCCCCTGCCACGAAATCTGCACTTCAGAGTTCAGCAAATGCTGCCATTACCACGAAATCTGCACTTGAGAGCTGACAAAGTGCTGCACCTGCCGCGAAATATGCACTTTCAGAGTTCACAAAGTGGGAAGCACGAATCACGAATCAGGAGTCACGAATCACGAAACGAATCACAAATCACGAAACGAATCACGAATCACGCTGCTGGAGGACGACTTCCGGATCAAAAATCAATGTTTAGTTATTTTAAATAAAATTGCCTTTCAGCTTTTCAAACGGGAAAATCAATTGGAGTTTTTTAAATGCCTTTGAAAAGGCTTTTTAAAGGGAAAATCTATTGGTAAAAATATTTTTTTACTCAAAATTGCCTTTGAAAAGGCTTGTTAAAAGGGAAATCTTTTTCGGGAGTTAGTTTTTGAATTTGAATTGCCTTTGCAAAGTGTGTTAAAGGGAAAATCAATTGGGAAAATCTATATGCCTTTGAAAAGGCTTGTTCAAAGGGAAAATCAATTAGGAAAATCTGTTAAATTAAAATGGCCTTGGAAAAGGCATGTTCAAAGGGAAAAATAAATTTGATTGTTTTCAATTAAAATTGTCTTTGAACGGGCTTTTTCAAAGGGAAAATCAATTAGGAAAATCTTGTTTGAATTAAAACTGCCTTGGACAAGGCATGTTCAAAGGGAAAATAAATTTGCTTTTGTTCGAATAAAACTGCCTTTGAAAATGCTTTTTGAAAGGGAAAACCAATTGGGAAAATCTATGTTTAGTTAAAATTCCCGGGAAAATCAATTGTGATGTTTTCAATTAAACTTGCCTTTGAAAAGGTTTTTGAAAAGGTGTTTGAAAAGATAAAATCAATTGGGTTTTTCTCAATTAAAATTGCCTTTGAAATGGCTTTGTAAAAGGTAAAATCAATTGGAAAAAAATTAACTAAAAATGCATTTGAAAAGGCTTTGTCAAAGGGAAAATCAATTGGGAAGCACGAATCACGAATCACGAATCACGAAACGAATCACGAATCACGCGGCTGGAGGACGACTTCCGGATCACCACTCACATGATCAATCTTTCTGTAGTCTGACATGCATCTTCTGACATCCTGGTGTCTGTTGCGTTATGGGGTTATATAACTTGCCATCGGACATCTTGTAAAGTAAAGCAGGGCTCTTCTGCTAGGACGACTAGTAGCGTTCTTGCTCCCTTTGCTCCTAGTTCCTAGCAGTATGGCGAGCTTTCATATGCGCCTCCAGGATTGGGGCAGCACATGCCATGGAGACCCAGCGCTTTGCAGCCAGGCGATTTCTCGCAGGCCGAACTGGAGCTGTCGCTGGCGCCGCTGGCGCTGTTGGCTCCATCCCTGTGCCATTTAAGGGGGATGGGCATGAGATAGCATGGTGTCCTCAAAAAAAAATGGCCCTTACATGCCTCACTCACCCAGTATTAAAAGAAAACGCCCTGGGAGAGTCATTTGTTTCTGGCCCCATCTATAAAGCAACTTGATAAAGTGTTGTTAAAGCAACTTGATAAAGTGACGAAGTCGGCGTGAGTGAAACGGGAAAGGCAGTTAAATATGAATGACAGCAACTGCACCCGCCGCATTCTCCTGGGTCGGAATAAGCCAAACAAGGACAAACAAATAGCATTGCAGTACAGAACACACGAATTGGACAAACAGACAAACAAATAAACAGACAGACACTTTGTTGTTGCTGTTCTCTCGCATCAAGACAGATCTCGACTGGCAGGGCCTGACCGACAGGCAAGCACCGACACGGACAAATGCAAATATCGACGCAACGAGAGACAAAAAGAGAGAGAGAGAGAGAAAGAGAGACACAAACAGAGACAGAGACAAACACAAAGAGACACACAGAGACACACAACAGACACAAACACAACACACACACACACACGCAGACACACACTCACAGACAGGGACAAATGGCCAACAAATACCAACGTACATACCAACATACGTATATTATATGCGCACTTACGTACACACATACATGCAAGCATTCATTCAGTCATAGACACATACACGTACCCCACCCACACACACACACACAAATTAATGAACTAGCCAAAATACCTTTCGTGTTAAAACCAACCTTCATGCACACTTGCTTTTGTAACACAACAAACCGAACGCATTTCACTACATTATATACATACATGGAAAAGCACAACGTTACAACGCAGTGAGACGCAAACTACATACATACATGCACGCACCAACGTGCAAACAAATAAAGCGACACGTGTCAAATACGCACATACAAAAGGCATTCATACGTGACTTAATGACATGACGATAGAGGTGATAAACGATGATGAAGGTAAAGGAAGATGATGACAGCGAAAAGGAAGTTGAAGTTGGTAGCTGCTTTCGAACCAGGACCCTTCGCAGGTTCTTCAGGAAAAGAGTTCAGAAGTCTTTGAATATCTTGACATTTACTTTCAGTTTAGAGTTGACTAAACTATTGGTCTCCATTCCTTTCAACTTAAATGGTCTTAAACTCTTTTTTAATCAGACGCATTGAGACTTTTGTCTCCAATCAATGATGGACTGAAATTGGTATCCAATTGAGGGTCTTGGAAAACCCGTTGAAGCGGAAGTGTGGTTCAATGAAAACCCACTGGGAATATGTTTGCAAGCATGTGAAGTAAAGGTTCCTCGGAAATCTAATCTTAAAGTCAACACAATTATTGATTTGCATTGAATTTGTGTCCAGCTGAGTCTCCTGTGAAATTTCTCTTTGAGAAATTCACATGGCGCTAGCCTTGGAAAGCTGAAAACCTTGTTTTTTTGCTTTGGTCCCACTTGTTCTGATGGTGTTACCCATTGGAAACCTAAAAATAGAGTTGTTTATTTGGTTCCACTTAGAACATGAAATGCCAAGCCACTTAAAACCAACTACAAAATTATGCTCCAGCAAACAGTTTTCAGCATGTGCCGCGCAGTGTTTTCACAATAAAATGCAATTCCACTTCACCAAGATGTTCAAGCCACTCCAGATCAGCGTCTCTTTCCAATGGCATGTCAAATGTCTTAGTCTTATCTTCTATGACCTAGAATGACCTATTTGAAAATGACCACTCTGCAGAATGCAATGTTTTGGTTTTGGCCTTCCTCATGCAAGGTGCCCTAACTTATAGTCCACTGTTCATCAGGGTATCTGAACATAATGGTTTTAATGTTCGATTCTAAAATTATTTCCAATATTGTTTCAGAACCAATTATATATATATATATGTGTATGTACATCATTGATTTGTACTGACATGTAACCACCCTTCAAAAATAACTATATACATATACATATGTATATATTATATATATAGAGATATTAATTCCAAGGGCTCAAGCCATTTTGGCTCAAGGCTCAAGATCTCGGCTCAAGAGCGGCAGCCAGCACTTTACTGGGCACTACGCGACCCGAAGTTCATCGCTCTGGAGACCGAGAAAGGAGGCCACACCCACCCGCTGGACTATGACCAGAGGATCGTGGACCCGCTCCTATCAGTGCTGCCGAGGAGCGGAGTGCAGCAACTGGATTTGGGAAGATAAGGTGGCTGAAGGGTATGTTTGCCGCAAATGCGGCCTGGCTTGGCGGCAACCAGCTCAAGGTTTTCGGGACCGATCGAAATCTCAACCTCGAGGTCGTCATGCTCCTCGCCAGAAACCTATTACACCCCCGCCTGGCCTGGGAGGGGGCAGAGTCTCCAAACTCTCACAGGTTCACAAGGCCACCACCGATCTTCTCATGGGTTCATGGGGCAGCTTGGAACCCAAATTGCAGCAGCAGCTCGAGCAACTCGGCATCAAGCCTGCTCCGCCCACCGTGGAGGCTGATGATTTGACGAATGTCCTCAAAGAGAACATGGCCCAACTGCCCACTGCAGTGAAGGACTTGGTGGAGAAGATTACCAAACCTCCACCAGAAACGGAGAAAGACATGGCCATGAAACTCAAGGCCCAGGTGTCACATCTTCGAGACCTGTCCCACAAGAAGCAAGTCCTGCAACAGAAGCTGGACAATGCCAAGAAAACCTATGGGGATATGCTCGAGGAGATGAAGACTATCCAAGGCAAGCTCGAGGCTGAACAAGGGGCCCTTCACACCACCTCCGCGGCATACATGGCTTTGGTCAACACCAGCAAGCCGGCCACCGAGCTCCATGAAGGGGATTCCATGGAGGACACTGTGCCCAACGCGGTGGCAGGTTTCATCACGACCCTTGGGGTCAGTTTGACAGAGGACCAGAAGGCCCAGCTCACAACGATGCTGAAGCGCCCTCCGGCTCCCATTACTGAGGACGAGAACAAGCGTCGCAAAATGTTGGAGGAGGTTCAACAGTGTGGGTAACCTGATGCCTAGGGCTTCCTCCCTTTTGCAATTTGCTTCTTGTGATTTTGGGGCTGCTGATGCGGGACATCAGCCACTCAGGGATTCTCAATCAAGTTGCAGGGTTTTTGACAACTTGGTTGATTCTTTTGCAGCGGGAGGCTCGAGACGAGCCAAGGGTAGCCGCGGGGGCTATGGTCCTTGGCGCCAGCCTCCTCCTTTCAAGTTGAGGAGGGGACACTCAGATCCTCCCTCGGGGCCAGAGAGCAGTTGGGCCAGCCACGGGGCACCGTGTTCCTCTACCTCAGCGCAGACCTCTCGGGGTTCTGCAGTCGACGGGACCCCACAGGCTAAGCTCGCGGCTCTTCTGGTGGACCTCATGGATGATGACATCAATCGTCCGGGTTCTTCAGTTTTGACGGCAGGCCAACAGGCCCTCTATGACATCTGCAAGCGAGATCTTGACTCCTCGCGGGCAGACTTTGAGCAGAGTTGGTCCTTGGTCAAGGGTCAACAGTTTTTGGTTGATTTGAGAAGGATGGAAAACACCCTCCACAAGCTCCTGGCAGTTCAAGGAGATGTTCCTCATCTGGCCACGAACGTCTATGTTGTGGCTCAGGCTTTGACCAGCATCCTCTCCAACCCGCACAACATGTGTTTTGCCAATGCCGTCCTGCGGTGCTGGAGTTGGGCCGGAGCTCATGCCGAAGACCAGTCTATCGCTTGGGGCAGGACACATGCTGCGGTTCGGGAATTTCTGGGGGCTGGCGAACCATCTTTGTTGAGCAACTTGGACCAAATGCACCACATTCTCCAACACTTCCCAGCAGGTACTCAAGCGGATGTTGGGGATTTTGCAGGGCTCTTGTGGAACTTTGCGGACAGCACCTTCTTCGGAGGCAAGTTCTTTCATGTTCACCCTGATGGAAGGCTTGAGGACCGAGAGCAAGTTCCCCTCAACCTGCTGTTTCCACCAGGAGATTCGGCCATCTCCTTGGATGAGCTTGTCAACCAGTGGGCTGATGAAGAAGGTGGGCAATACCTTTATGGGGCTCCTGACGGCCTCATTCTTCATCTTCAACGGTCAGCTTTGGTCCAAGGGTGCTGGACCAAGCACGATCGGCCTCTGGATTTCTCCACCAGCGTCAACATTCCCTTCTCCGAGGATGGCATTCATGTCCATATGGCCACCTACAGGATTGTCAGCTTGGTTTTGCATCAAGGTGAAGGGCATGAAAACGGGCATTATGTGTGCATCCATGCCATGGACAACACCTATTGGTTCGCCGATGATGATCAGTATCCTGTTCCCTTGTCCAACATTTCGGATCAGCAACGAAAGGAGGTTGTCCAACTCTGGCTGATTCATGACAATCAGGGCGAGCTCGTACCGGACGCCGTTGAAGCTCTGGCACCCAGTCAGCCCAAGAAGGCCAAGCATCACTATGAGACCTTGCACCTCATCTTTGGGAATGTGACCTTCTTTGGAGCTCGCGTTCAGGATTGGATCTGGACCAAAGGAGATCACCTTCTCTTTCTGCAAGAAACTCATTTGGGTCCCAAGAAGCTCAACGAGGCCCAGCAATACTTCACTGCCAGAGGCTGGAAAACACATGGTCTCCCGGCTGCTGACACTGGACGAGGAGGGACCACCGGAGGCATGCTCACTTTGCATGGCAATCGGCATTTGACCCATCTGGATCACCACTACCTCCAAGAAGGTAACGGCTGGATGTCTGTTGGGTTGCAGAGGCAGGACACGATGATCTTCATCATTCAGCTGTACTTGCGTACTGGGGAAACCTTGCAGTCCCCTCACAATGCCGACCTTTTGGCTCATCTCCTCACCTACCTGGGACATCTTCGAGCTCCATTCATTGTGGGTGGAGACTGGCAGAACGAACCTGGTGCTTTGGCGGCCACGGTCATTCAGAGTAAGTTCAAAGCGGAGATCTTAGACACACAAGGACCCACCACCTTGCAAGGATCTCAATTGGACTTCCTGCTGGTCTCCTCCACCTTGGCGCCGTGTCTTCAGGTTCAGGCAAATTGGGATGTGCCATGGAAGCCTCATTGTGCTCTGGATGTGACCTTCAATTGTGACTATGCGGCTGTCTCTGTCCAACAACTACAGCGTTTTCCTCCGATCGGACGGACCCACCCTTTGCCGGCTACCTGGACCAGTTTTTGGGAAGACGACGGTCCCTTCCACATCATGGGTCAACCCATCACTGGCATTGGCTCTGACTTTGCTCGATGGGCTACGCAGACCGAGAAATACCTGACTCAGCTGCTCCATACACCCACTCAAGGACGGGGATCCCGGATCTCCATGTTTCAGGCTCCTCTGGTCGATCAGACCAAGTCACAAGTTTGGAAGAAAGGACGTGTAGCCTTCTGGGAGAAGATGAAGGTGCGAGTCAATGTGGTTCATCAATCTCAGCACCCTCGAGTTGCTCAGGACCTGCTCAATATGTTGGAGGCAGTTTCACAGCATGCCTCGGACGGGATGAGCCAAGACTTGTTCACTGCCCTCCTGAAGCATTGGATCCAGCATCCCACAAATGAGCCTTTGGAGATTCGGCGCATCATCGCTGAAGAGGAGCAGCTCGCCCACAAGGCCATCTTCCACACCTCCAGCGAGGAATACAAGCTCTGGTTGGAGAAGGCTCATCAGAAGGGCCTCAGGGGCCTTTTCAGGAGTCTCAGGCAGAAAGATGTTCCATGGCAAAGGCCCTTCACACATTTGCCACTGGCAGAACGACAACAAGCACGACAAGCCCAATGGGAGGACATTTGGCACCCTCGCCCTGATCCTCGTCCCCTTCGGCACTGGGATCTGCTACAGGCTGCTGCCATAGATCAAGCGGAGCAGTTACCTCCCATTCAGTCTCATCAACTACAACAGCTACTTCGCCACTTGCCCAACAAGGCGGCTGGACCCGATGGCATTTCCTACGACTTCCTTCGGCATTTGCCTTATCCAGCGGTGGAGAAACTGGCTGGTCTGCTCACTTCCATGGAGCGCGAGGGCGAGTTGGCTCTGCAACTGAGGGTGACCAACATCGTTCTTATACCCAAAAATGAGAAGGTCGAGAGACCAATTGCCCTCACCAGCTGTTTGTATCGGGTCTGGTGCCGTGCGAGAAAGGCGGACCTGCAGAGGTGGCAGCTTTCCTTGGAGGACCAACTACCTTGGGACCAAGCTAGGCCCGGGCGTGACTGTTTGAGCATTGCCGGCGTTGCCATCGGGAGGATGCTGTACGCTGAGATTGCACGTCATCAAGGCATCCACACTGTCACTTGCTTAGCAGACCTCACTTGCTTCTATGACCATGTTGACCTGGATGCCATCATCGAACCCGCCCGTGAATTGGCATATCCGCCCTTGCACCTCAAGTTTGCACTGGACGTCTATCGAGGACCAAGAACCATCCAAGCTGAAGGGATCAACGGAGAGGCCAAGCACTATGACAAGGGAATTCTTCAAGGATGCCCTCAGGCGCCAGCCATCTCGAAACTCATCCTTTTCAAGCCCCTCAAGGTCATGGTCACCAATCATCCGGCTGCCAACCTCCAGACGTGGGTGGATGATGTCAGTTTTGACATCCATAGCCGGGACCCAGACTTCGCAGCTCGAGAAGCTTTGAATGCTTTCCGCACCATGAAGTACCAGATGGAGGAAGCTGGTTTGAAGTTGAACACGGACAAGACAGGCTTCCTCACAAGCTCCAAAGAAGCTGCTCGGGCCTTAAAGGCCCTGCTGACGGACAGTGATCCTGAGCACTATGATGTCCTGCGAGACTTGGGCGTTGACTCCACTGCTGGTCGCAGGCGCCGGGTCCCTCAGATCAAAAAGCGCTTCTTGAAGGGCAAAGGCCGAGTTGGGATCCTTCATCGCCTTCGGTTGACCACGGGCATTCGCTACAGGCTGCACAAAGGGGCCATTCACCCGGTGATGTCTTGGGGAGCTCAAGCCAATGGACTGGCCCCTCAAAGACGCCAGCAACTCCGAGTCTTAGCTGCTCGAGGACTCAAACTACAGCGGACCGGGTCAGTCGATGTGGTCTATGATATGAATGATGGCCAGCCAGATCCCGGGGATTCCATCATCCTCCAACACCTGCACACAGTCTGGAAGGTCTTCCACCGCTTTGATGAGAGTAAGCAGCATCTCTTCTGGACCAGCTGGAACACCGCACTGGGAGTTCTCCAACAAGCCAGGTACAAATGGCAGGTGGTCTCTGGCCCTCTTCAGGCCCTTCAAGCATACTTGCTTGACATGGAGTTTGACATCTCCAATGGCCACAAATGGAAGCGCACCGGCTACGGCGGGATACCGGACTGTTTGCTTTCCCTCTTGGATCCATGGCCGGTCATCCACTCTCAGCTCCAGAAGGAATTTCGCTGGCAACGGCTTTTGCGCTTGACCAGATATGAAGGTTGCCACGACATGGAAAGGCAGTTGGACTGGATGATCAGTTTGCACATCCAGCGGACCACAAGTGACTCCCTGGCAACAGGACTTCGTGCTTTCCATCAAGGCACCCTACATGGAGTTTCTGGCCATTGTCCCTTATGTGGAGTTGACTTGACCTTCACTCACATGCTCTGGGAGTGTTCCTTCTGGCAAGGCAGGGTCAAAGAGTTATCCTCTGAATGGGTCAATCGGTTGCAAGCAGGCACTGATCCCGAGCTTTGGCAGCGGGGCTTTGTTCAGCAGATCTTTTATGAGCCAGAAGAAGGTTTGGCCACCATCGAAGGCACAGGCTTGTGGGGAGATCTTGGCCTCCTGAGGGCTGACAAAAGTCACATCTGCTCCATTGCTGTGGCACCCACATGCGGGGACAAGCGGCATCGACGTTTTGCCTTTGCGGTCTGTGTCCATCACACCAAGACCAAGCAGCAGATTGGGTCCATTACAGGCATCTGCCCTGCACCTGCGACGCGCAGGAGGGCCTTCTTCTACGCCTTGAAGCAGTTGGCACTTCATGTCACTGAGAAGACTCCTGTGGCCCTGTATGATGTGAAGGTGTGGCAGGCCTGGAAACCCCATGTGGCCTTTGAGACCTTTCCGGATCTCTTTCCGGGGCTGGAGTTCGAGGACTTTGACCATGTGTGGCCTCTCCTTTTCTCCAAGCAGGAGCTTTCTCAGAATGAACTCCGGAGGATCACCCAGAGAGACACGCAACAGTTGGCCCTTCGCACCGGCAAATTGTTCGAACCCACTGAGATTCTTGACATGCAGGCCCATGTTGACAACGATGCTCATGACATCTTGTTGCAGGCCGGAGCAAGGATGAGCATTTTGCTCCAGAACAAGGACCACTATTTGCACCGCAAGGAAGCCGTCATGCAGGATAAAGTCCCACTCATCCAGCAGAAGAAGGAAATCCTTGCTGATCTACTTGCCAAAGACTCTCCCAACGGACATGCATGGGAGCCCTTCCGAAGCGGCATTCGCTGTGGTCACTGCAAGCTTCGATACCACAGCAAGAGTCTCTTGGTTGAGCTTAAAGAAGCGAGGGAGAAGCCTTGCGAAAAAGCACCCAAGCTCTCCCAGCCCAAGCAGACCCGGATGGAGATGATTCACGCTCTGGTGGCCTCCCAAACTGGTCAACAGCATGGCGTGCACCACTTGAAGTTGGATCGTGCATACCTTCGGTGCTTGGCTTGCAAAAGCTACATCTTGGCAAGGACGAACGAAGAGGCCTTTACCAAGTTCGTCAGTGAGCCATGCCACACGGGACCGCTGGAGAGTAGCTTGTGGGAAGGGCATGTCTCGCACACCATGCAGAGACAGGGTCGCAACGTGGAATGCAGTCGATGCCACGCGAGGGCCAAGATCATCGACGAGAAGATCCAGTTGACGACCCGCTTACGCCAAAGGTGTGTTTTCCAGCGGAGTCGAGACCTGCGAGAAATGTTCGCATGAGAAGCCCATGCAGAGCACCAAAAGACGAGCAAAAAAAAAAATATTAATTCCAAGCATTGACTAGTATCCACAATGTCAAAAGAATAACTGCAGGAATTGCGGCACCATGCTTGACACTGAAACGTCTAGCAAAAAGCCCTTCACTTTGAGCAACTTAGCAACGTGTCTACATATCTGTGAATTGGTGAGCTTTGGTGTAAGTAAATTCTTCAATCGGAGGACTGCCCAAGGCCAGTATATAAGCCAATAAGTAAGGCGGCCAATAGCTGTCAACTCTCTTTCTCCAAAACTGAGAGCAACCGTGCTTTCTTCATCCAAGCCACGAGATTTGCTTCGGCGGCGGCTGCTTGGGTGCCGGAGGCGGCACGGGCACGGGAGCAGAAATCACCGCATCGGGCCAGGTCTCTGTCCTTGTCTTCGAGACGATGTTTGGATCGCTGCAAAAAGGCAAATCGGTCGCTGCAAAAGGGCAAATCGGATATACAGCAGAAAACGAAGAACATGTATCTTGACGCGCAAAACGATCAAGGGCGAGTCACCTTTATTGTGAGTTTGGAGTGTTGGTCTAGAGTTTCCTTGATCTGCCAGCGTTCGTGATTCAGCCGAGCCTCTGGGATGTTGTGGTGGTGGTGGTTTGGTAGCACTTGCCGCCAAAGGATACATAGCCATCTGTGCATTGGCATTTGCCCCGCTCACACCTGCATTACAAAGGCAAGGTGTTTTGATTGTGTTGCTCAGGGCTCGTCAATCTGGTTGAAAGGGGCCAAAGGTTTTCAGTGAGTGGTCTGGGGGAATCTATGGCTGACCTCCTCCCCGCAACCATAGCCTTAGCCTGTCTGCGATGATAAAAATGCATGGTTGGTTTGTGCTGGACTGCAATCTATACCCACAGCCTGACACGAAGCATACCTCCACAAGAACTTGTTTCAGCTTGCTTCTGGACCAAGAATTTGCGGGCCCGGGCCCAGACCAAGCAAATCCTAGCTTGCTTCTGGACCAGTGCCAGAGATGTTCATCTTTTCGGGCACCTTTTTGCACAAAACCATCACAATCCAATGATTCTTTGCGCCGGATCACACAGTCGACCGCCATTCGACACGGCCTGGTAGGACCCCGGGTCTTGCTGCAGGCGAACCAGCCACAAGAGCCACCTCATCCACATGAGTGCGCAAATGTTCGCGGTGTCCCCCCAAAAAGCAGTAATAATCGTCGGAAACTCTATAGACTCATAGAGATCTCTATACTCCATGGCGCTTATATATATATATATATCACCTACCCCCAAGCCCCGCCTGTGTCTTGCCCTTCAGCAGGCTCTTCAGCCTTGACACAGGTCAAGAGCTCGGAACCTCAGATTCCGCGCCCGGTCGAAACAGGTCGAAAGCCTTTCACATCCGAAACCACCATGGAAGACCCAGGGTTCCGGAGGATAGGTCCGGGTTGGTCCCCTGGCATGGACAGTAGAGGATAGTAAAGGTGATGAAAATAAGCGAATTGGAGAAATGGAGTAAGATGCTTCAAGCAAGAGAAGCCTGGCAACATCCAGAAGTAACACAACATAGTGCAAATCCAGAACCATCCAGAACCTTCCTGACCAAATTCGTCTCGGGTCACGTGGACTGATTGCAAGATTACCAAACCTGTGAAGCCCTAGGAGTCCCTTGGCAAAAGAGTGACCCATGCTGTAGCCATTGGATGTGGCGGACAAAGCATTTGCTGATCCCACGAATTGATACGAATTGGATAGGGTTGGACTGTTCGCGGCTATAAGTGTTCAGCTCTTAGTTTTGTCTCCTGTTCATTGTTTTTGACCAAAGAGGGTGTCCTATGGTGTATACATGCCTAAAGGTTTGAGCCTCTATCGGTACGGCAAAATCTGGAAGGCGGCACTGTACTCTTGCAAATGCTTGTCGGTCGCCAGTCACATCCTACGTTACTATTTCATTCGGTTCTGAGGTCGGTATTGCAAGAGACTGCCGTTGAAACAGTTAAACCTAGTTAAACCTCGATCTCTTTGAAAGCATTCTCAAAGCGGTGGAACTGCGAAGCCCTTGCTACTGGTAGCTTCTTGCTACTAGTAGCGATAGCCTCCACCTAATAGCGTCCTTGCTACTAGTAGCTTCTTGCTCCCAGTAGTAATGCCAGGAGCTACTAGTAGCGTCCTTGCTGCTAGTAGCGATGCCCTTGTTACTAGTAGCTTTTGATGCCCTGTTTTGAACGTCAGGGCACTCCACTTCGCCGTGGGCAAACAAACACACCGCCAGTGGTGGCATTCCACGAGGCCAAGCTTGTCTTCGCAGTTCGACCACATGCAGGAGACTCCTGGCAAAACGGTTTGCCTCAAACATGGGGAAACCAGCAGTCAATATGTCTTCCTACTTTTTGTGGGATTTTGTTGGTGTTTTCCTTTTGTCCAACACTGCCTTGGAAAACGCGTGTCTTTAATCTAAATCTAGATATTCCGTCTTAGTCAAGAAGGATCTCCAGGATTTCACCAGGCACAAGCTATATAGGTGGTCAGAGAATCTGCGGTGCAAAAAAGCATACGAAACAAAAACAGAACCACCGACTTTGCTGGTGAAATGTAATGTTGCCACCAACAAAGACAGCTTCGCCGAACAGAAGCAGTGCTGTCCTTATTATAATTGTGGCTGTCTCTTGCAAAATTGTATATTATATAGAGTATAGAATCAATTTTGTTGACTGTCCACAAAACAGTGTCGAAAAAGCACGAAGCTAGCGCCTGTCTCTCTTCCAGGTTGGTAATCAGCTTTCAGATCACCTTGGCAGTGAAAAAAATCCCTGCTATTCTGAGCAGAACATTCCGAAGCGGCAAAGAACAAATGCCCCTACTGTGAAAAGCTCAGCATGGCACTCTCAGTCTTGTTCCCTCTGACATGCAGCAGCTGCAAGGAGCAGGTGTCTGGATCAGTGCATTCTTCCTGACGGAGCTGAAGCCTCTCGTTGTAAGAGAACAAACTGAAAAGCCTTAACTTGGAGCGTGGAACCTGCCGGAGGCTGGAAAGCTTACGTCCAACTATACCAAATCCCTGCAAAACATGTGTGTGTGAATAATATTTATGTATATATATATATATTAAAAAAAAAACAAAAAAAAACTGTTTATAGTATACAGGGCATTGCTACATAATACATAAAGGTTCCTCCTGAAGCTTCCCTCTTTGGAATCCGCATAGTCCGCAGAACCAGCAGAAACTCCCAGACCAATGAGCTTGGATCCTGTGCTTATCCCAGAACATTTGTTTGGAACCCTCGCTTGAAACCTCAGGACCAATTGTAGTACGCGATAGTACGGTCGAGGCCCCAAGCTGCTGTCAACACCAATTGCTAGAAGGTCAAAAGAAATTGCAAATGAGACCTCCCAAACAACATTGCCACAAACACTGCCTATCACTCCTGAGCCAGAGCTGTCTCCAGGTCTGCCAGTGCAGTTGGCAACAAGGCAAGGAGCGCCCAGCGAGCCATCGGGCGCTTCAGGCCGCCTACACCCAGCATGGATCGGCTTTTCCCAAGTAGAACCGTATAGTAGATCCTTTTAGTTTGCAGCAAACCACCCACTGAAGCAATGAAAAGAACATATCAATGCGCAAAATATATCAAGCAACTCGCAGCAAGGACGCTATTGGGTGGAGGCCGCTATTAGGTTGGAGGCTATGACTACTAAGTAGCAAGGACGCCAGTATACTTTGCTTCTAAAATCCCTCCGAGCCTCCGACTCGGAAACCAAATGAGTCGTTGAGCGGATCTTACAATCTCACTATGGCCAGGGTGCGAACCGGCGTTCCCGCCTGCTTCGGGAAGAAGGCACCAGTAATGGATGGAAACGTAAAGGGCTTGAACCAACATGCAGAAACATGAAACAACCACAAGCCAAAACCTTTCAAGAATAACAATATAAGCCTATCATTGACAAGGCCTTTAGGCATCTTCAATCTGTCTCCCGATCAACACATGCCGCTCTCACCAGAGTCCACCACCAACAGGCCACAATGCTGATGAAGGGTGTCATCTCCAGGTAGCCGTTGGGCCTTCAACTAAACACAGTTGCCAAACAGCTGCCTCAACTACCAACAAGTCGTCGGTTCTGTTGGATCAAGTTGCCCTGCGACTTGATGGACAGGCTGGACAGGTCAAGCCCAACCGTTCGGTGAAAACACTTGGCCCCCTGGCAGTCTGCGGAGAAACACCCCACCATTCTGTTGTGCCTTGTATAGCACCTCGCGTTTGGTTCAATTCACCAGCTTCCGGTCTATCCAATCGCATTCTGAACCGAACAAAGATTGGTGGGGACTGAGACTTTCCAAAAGTGAAGTCTGGTATTAGTCTCATTAAGATTCATGGTACAATATTGCACCAAAATATGCCAAAATGTGCCAAATCTAAGCTTTGGCGTTTTTAACACCATCACATACCACCACAATTGCTGGTAGGTACAACCCACACCTCATTCACCTGTCTCGGTGAAAGCACAGCGACCAAGAAACATCCTGGGAGCTTGGCTGCTTTGGCATTTTGAAGCTCCGTGGCGTTGTCGGCCATCGCCTCCACTACAAGCCTTGTTCACACAGTTTGCTTCTCGGTGGGTGCCGGAACCCCAGTGCCTAGTAGCGTCCTTGCTCCTAGTAGCGATGCCAGGAGCCCCTAGTAGCTTCTTGTTCCTAGTAGTACGACCAGGAGCCCCTAGTAGGTGAACCAGTGAGTTCATCAAACGTTCTGGACGCCCGAATTGTCCAAGCTCTTGGGTTCAGACTGTGGATACCAATCACCACGTTCAGCTACAAACCTCCAAAGTGTTCAGATGTACATGAACATATGACACAGTGATTTGCAGCTTAGCCACATCAAAGAGCTAAAGACTAGCAGGGCAAAGCCCAGCAAAGCCTCCAGATGCATCGCAAATACAAAAGCATAAGGAAGTTCTCGCTCGTCACTTGGTTGATTGTGGGAATGGTTCCAATCACACCACTTCTTTTCAGTGCAAAACATGCCAAGGCCAAAGCCACAAAACAAAAACAATCCGGACAATCGGAACTTGCCGAATCCGCATCGCGTGAGCTGAGTGGTGGACTGCGGTGATTGCAAAGGCTGGCGCTGCCTGCAGGACGACCAATCCGTCGGCGCCCTATGTTGGCCAATCAATGCATCCAAATGTGAATCAAATGTCAACGCAGCGCCTGTAGCATGACATTATATAGAAGATGCTGCGCATCGCTTAGCTGCCACAAATCCGAGTTGACCAGCTGCATCCTGTCAAGGATTTGGCTTGTCTGAGCGAGAATGAAGCTTGACACCTGAGTTTCTGATGTTTGCACAATCTGAAAAGATTGTCCGAGCGCAAGGCAGCTTAAAAATGCGGCTGACGCGCAGCAATCTAAATAAGCGGAGCCTTGGCATGCATTTCACTCTCAGGCGTTGTGCTTCTTAGAGATCAAAAATGATCAAATCATATGAAATCATGTTTGCAAATGTTAGCAGGCTGAAGAGCATGCTTCCAAAATGGGACTCGGTTCCACTGGGAGTTGTGAAAGTGATGATGGACGAGGCTGAAAGGCCTTGATTCAGTTCAGTAGATTCATGAACATGCTTCGGCAAGCGCGAAGCATGTTAACACTCGGGGAGTGCATCAGCAACCCTTGGGCAACTTCCTGGACCTTGCCTCACGGAAAGAAGCTGCAAGCACTGGAAGGGGCGGAACTTCGGTTTATGCTTCTGCTATGTTCAGCAGTTTCACAACTTTGGTTGCCGTGTCTGGTGCCCTAAACGAACAACGCAGAAAGCCCGGTTTGAACTCGGCCGTGCCAAAGCGCAGCCAAGAACAAGCAGAAAGCGCTGGTGTCAGCGTCGACAGGATGGGCCAGCGGAACAAAATGCAAAGCAACCGGGCGAACGGTCGAGACCTGGCAGAGCCAACAGAGGGCCAACCGGTGTCTCAGCCTCTGAAGGAGTGGACACTCGCCGGGCCGGCGCGCATCGATGCGACTTCAGTTGACCCTCGACTGCTTGAAGGCTGCGGAAATGCTTCTGGGCTTCAGCCAGGAGCATTAGCTTGCCTGGCCTAGATTCAATACATAATACAAGCTGCTACAAAATGTTACAGTAAAACATTCTGAAGGCCCCCGGCCAAATGAAATTTTGGTCAGCTGACGTGGCAAACACGACCTCCACCCAATAAGGCCTCATGCTCCGCAAGAGTTTTTCACGTCATGCATTGCGAGGCATCAAGCGAGGTCTATGGCAAATGACGTCTTTCGCAATTGGCTCAAAGGATCCCTCATGATCTCATGATGACGTATGATGATCATTAATCCTTGTCATCATCGTCTTCCATACCAAAGAGTGCTTTTCAAAGGTGAGCCATTTGTGAGCCCAAGAAGCAAAATCGTGAAGAGGTCCACAATCACATTGGGTTGCCGCCAAAAGCTGCACCAATTTGAGACCCCTGGCATTGGCTTAGGAGCGATCGGACGCTACTAGGGGCTCCTGGCCTTACTACTAGGAACAAGGGACGCTACTAGGAACAAAGGGCATCGCTACTAGGAGCAAGGAGGCTACTAGTAGCCAATCTTGTGCAGAACATGATACATGTCACGTCGCTATTTCCTGGTCGGGTGTTCTTTTTGCTGCATGCCATCTCTCTAGAACCTTCTATACAATGGAGCTGGGCCCACAAACAAATCGTTGAGCTTGAGCGACTTCTTCCTCTTCAAGATATTCATCTTCGTTCTGCTCCCGTTCCATGCTGGCCTGATTTGCTCGTGCTGAGCCACGAAAAGTTTTCCGGACAAGGTTTGCCATTTGGTCTTCTCCAGCCTTCTCAGCGGTCTTGATGTCCCGCTCGAAGAGCAATTTCAACTGACAATGTGCAATCTCAAGAAGACGTGAATTTGAAGCTGTCTGTGTTTCAACAGTGCAGCAAAACCACTTTGTTTACGTCTGTTGGTTCATTGACACACCTGTTCGTTCAAATTAATGCGTTAAACCGGTTAAACCCAAAAATCACATGAAACTGCCAAGATCAATCTGGGGCTGTGGCCAAGAAGCGTGCTTGCAACAGTTTTGCTCGTGCAAAAGGTGCTGTTAGCATCCTCAACCAATGATCCAACTATTGAGATTCCCTCTTTCTCTCCAAAATATCTCCTCCGACCCCGTCCAAAGTGAGGAAGCGAAAAGCAGACGGAGTCACCGGTCCGGTGGTCGACAGTGGTCGACCTTTTCGAAGCAGTGTCCCAGTGGTCGGTTACGGGTCTCGTGTGGTTTTTCTTAATTTCTTTCGTGGCTGTGGGTCTTCCAAGATGCATTTGATTAAACACAGGCAAGTCTTGCACAGATCATTTCCAAATGCAAATTGCCAGTTGACTGGGCAATGCCTGCCACGACTTGCACGAGCTCTCTACGTCACGTGGGCCTTGAAGACATTCTTCCGCCCTCTCCGCGCAACGTCGTGAAAGTGTTCTTCTTGTCTTACTTTCGGCGGCACAGGGGCAGCAGCCCTTAATTATATAGATTGATAGATTGATAGACCATTATAGATCGTGATCATCATTAGTATCTATGTCCAGGGTGGAACCAAAAAGGATGTCAATGGAGACACTTAAAAAGACAAAGTCCAAACATGCATAAACATGCACCATCGCGCTAGCTGAACAAAAGTAGCAGGTAGACCTCGTGCTAGTGCTGCTAGTGCAAAGTCGCGCTGTCCTGATAAGGAATTCTGTTGTAAAAATAATGACACACACCTCGTCCACCACCTGCGAAAGCACGGCCAGGCGACAAATGCATCACCCGTGGAGAGTGGAAGAGTTCATCAAGCAACAAGCTTCTTGTTATATACTAGTAGCGTCCTTGCTAATAGCGATGCCAGGAGCCCCTAGTAGCTTCTTGTTCCTAGTAGTAAGGCCAGGAGCCCCTAGTAGCGTCCTTGCTCCTAATAGCGATGCCCTTTGTTACAACACATATCATATAGGTGATAGTGATCTCACAATATGTCACATAACACCATTCTGCAGAGCGACCTTGCCTGCATCCAGGGAAGCGGGACCGGTTCGCACGTGCTGCATTGGACCACGGTATAGAGAGGTATGGTGCCAGCCTGGACGAGCTGCAAAAGCGGTAACGGGTGACTTTTGGCACAAACAGAGGAAAGGAACAAAGAAACGGGAAGGGAAGCAAAGGAAGGAAAGAAAGAAGGCACATTTAACAAAAAAATAAAACAAACATGTTGTTGCAAATGCTTGCACTTGCGCCAGTGAACTTCCCTTGCAGTTGGAGGCTGGTGCAATAGCAGTGGATTGCTTCTGACTGGCCAAACATTGGGAATTCTCCCTACACTCCTATCTTAAATGAGAATGACAATCGATGACGCACAACTAGGACTTTGGCCATCCAAATAGCAATGCTGATAAGAATGGTTGCAACCATGAAGGCACTCCTGGCAGAGATTCGAAAGGTGCAGGAAGACGAAGAAGTAGTAGTAGCAGCAGCAGCAGCAGTAGTAGTCGTCGGGGTGGTAGTAGTTAGTCGTAGTGGTGGTAGTGGCAGTAGTAGTGGTAGTGGTAGTGGTAGTGGCAGTGGCAGTGGCAGTTGTAATCGTTGTAGTAGTGGCAGTAGTAGTGGCAGTATTGGCAGTAGTAGTGGTAGTAGTAGTAGTAGTAG